GCAATTGAAGATGATAAAACTCCATTGAAAACATATTTTACAAGTTTATTATTATCACCCACATTAATACAATCAACAACATCAATAGGTGATGAATGGTTTCGTTCAATTGTATTAAATGATTTAACTTATCAACATGATCTTCTTCTTTATCTTTGTTCATTATTATGGAATGATTCAAAATATACTGAAATTGTTCAATTATTTGATTCATTATTACCATCATTTATTGTTCATTCATCATATTGTCAAATTCTACGTGATTTAGCTTTATTAAGTTTAATAAAACAAACATCGGAACCTGATCATGCATATCATTATTTACGTAAAATTCATGACTGTCATTTATTAATACATGCAACATTAACATATTTACCACGTTTCGATGGGCCAACATGTTTAAAATTACTTGAATTATGTTTAACATCTTGTAAGAAATATCATTCAGATTATATTGATTGGATACAAGAACGTTTAAATATAATGTATGTATATAAAACATTATGTCTTGGTGCATTATCACAATTTACAAAATGTATGGAAAATATATCTAAACTTGATACACAATTAAATCTATCAATTGAAGATATGGCTATAAAAAAAACCTCATCGAAATGTTTAACATGGCAACGTGCTGAAGAACATTCACAACGTGATCCATTAGCTGTTGTTGATATGTTTATCTTTGAAAAACAATTTGATATGGGACATAAATGGTTAACATTATTAAATAAACATGTTGATGAAGATATTATTAATCGTGTAAGATTTAAATTAGTTGAAGAACATATACATTGGTTATTAAATGAAGAAAATATTGGTAATGGAAATAAATTTTTACAAATTATTGATACAATAACAAATATAAATGATAAATGGCAATTATGTACAGAGTTAATTAATGATTTATCAAGACAAAGATTAGTAACAAGTACAAAATCAATACCATTTTCAAGATTATTTATTAAATTTCGTCTTATACAATATATGTTAGCACATTTTGAAGAAAATTCCGCATTTTTTCAAGGACAATATGATCGATCAAAATTATGTGTATTAGTTACTGGTTTAGCTATATTTTTTAATTGTATACCATTAGAACAAACAGATTCCTATGAACAATTAGTTGGACAACCATTACTTATACTTGAACAATTATTAATGAATAGTTCAATTGATATAGCTAAAATAACAATTGAAACATTAAAAGTTTTAATTGAAAAATATTCATTAGAAAATATTATTAATATGAAACAAGTTGATCAATTAATTGAAATTTATACAAAGAAAAGTGTACGATTAAATGTTGTTCAACCACATGAAGAAACGTCAATAACAGTTGAAAATAAGTAAATAATTCATCATATATTTATTAGCATGAGAAAATTTATTTTAAATATTCTTTAGACCTGTTCTTCAACCTCCACCTATTTCATTGATTGAACGTCGTCGTAGCTCATTAAATCCAGCTACGTATATTACTAAACGTAAAGGTTCTCAAGATTTATCTCCATTAGGTCGTCGAACTAATACTAGTGGTACAAATAATTTCTTCAATTCAATACGTCATCGTATGTCACCCAGAACTCCAATAACATCTCCAAATGTACCAGAGTCTGATTTACAAACATCATCACCATCAACAATAGCATCATCACCTAATACTAATAGTCCACCAATGTCACATTCAATTCCAATAAAATCCCAACAACCTCAACAACAACAACAACAAACATCTTCGTCTTTTTTTGATCATTTTTCATCATCATTTACAAACAAATCTAATATAAATGAACAATCTCATCAAGGACATAAAACAACTGAATATACTGTTCCATTAGTAGTTCCACCAAAAAAATCATGGGTATCAGATGATGAAGTAGCTGTATGTATGTGTTGTAATGAAACACATTTTTCAATGTTTAATCGTCGTCATCATTGTCGTCGTTGTGGTCGTGTTGTATGTAAACCATGTTCACAACATATGACAATAATTAAAGGACGTTCGGAACGTACATGTAAAGATTGTTATCAATATATGCAAAATAATCCAGCACCACCTACAACTTCTCGACCAGAAACAAATACTCCAGTAAAAAAATTTGAAAATCTCCGATCGTAAGTATTCATCATCATAGTAGTAGTGTATATTGTCGATTGAATTGAGTTTTAATCTATTATAATCACAAGATAAATAATGAAAACTATTTTATTCTAGTCTTGCTAGACCAATCCATTCATTTAAAAGACTATCAATTAGTCAAGTTTATCTAAAGAATAATCGATCATACACAATAACATCAAATAATCATTTATTAGGTACATCACTCGTTAATGAAACTCCAAGTATTTTAGTAGAAGATACTTTATTATTAAGTTCAAGTTTTTCAACAGGAAGTCCTCTATCAAAAAATAATAAACTTCATTATCGTTCATCAATGGATACACCACAAACACAAGATAATATTACTGATGCACCTGCAATACCTATTATTACCGATCAAGTACAATATCAATTAACAGGAACATCGAGTGATGATAGTTTACGTAATGATTTTCATTATGATCAATCTCCTAGTATATCATTATGTTTATCATTAATTGAATTACATTCAAATCAATATGAATGTGGAAAATTATTAATAAAATTATGTGAATATTTATCTGAACAATTATCAACAAAACAACGTAATACTGAAATTGATTATGGTTTAGTATTAAATATAATAAAAAATCTTTTATTTACTGCTAAAATGAAATTAACGACGAGTTATTTTACTGATGAAGAATCAGGTGAACAACAAAAATTATTAAGATCTTGTGAAATATATAATAATCTTATTGATATATTAAATCGTTTAAATATGGCTAATTGTTCATTACCAGCATTAAATGATCTTTTACAACAGGATACATTAAGAAAAATACGAAATCAATTATTAGAAGATGAACGATATCAATTAGCAATGGATATTTCAACAAAATGTAATTTAGATACACAAACAATTTGGTTTCAATGGGGAATGGGTAAATAGAATAAATTTTTATTTCTTCATACTATTAATCCTATTTAGCTTATCTTCATATTGGTCAATATGGTGAAGCACGTGATAAATTTGACAAATGCTTACAGAAAACTTCGGATACAACTGATAAAACATTGAAACAACTACAACGTGGTGGTGTAAGTCAAGAAAAAATAGTCAATGATATAATCGCATTTCTTGAATCATCTCGTCCATTGAAATATTCCATGAGAAATCAATATTTATCTGAACAACAAATTCGACAAAGTGGACAAACACGTGCTAGTTTAAAATATCTCAATAGTCTTTCAACAATACCACGTTTACCCGATAAAACAAATAAAGGTTAATTTCTTTTTCTTCTATTCTATCAAAATAAAAAAAAACTTTTCTGTTTATTTCTAGCAATAGAGAATGAAATTCTATTTTATTTAACAATGTATAGTGATGATGCACATTTATTAGATTATTATATTCGTCATGAATATTATACACAAGCATTTGAATATAAATGTTCATTAGTATTATTTCGTGATCATATTTATCTTCCTTTATTAAAACGTAATCATATAAAACATCTATTTAATTATATATTATCACATAATCTTAGTTTATTTACACATCATTTAAAATTTATTTGTACATATTTAAAAGAACAAGAAATGAATCATTCATTATTACAATTACAATTATTTCTTAATGATTATCTTAATGCTGGTTTTACATCTGTGAAATTGTTTACTATACATCGAACAACATATTTAGATTTATTTGAAAAACGTTCAAATTATTTACAAAAAGGTTTAGAATATTTTCTACAAGCAAAAGCTGATACAGAACAAACAATGATGAAAATTCATGGGTATAGAAAATTTTTTAAGGGTGCGATTTGTTCTCAAACCTTTTATTTTAGTACTAAAAGTAAAATTGAACTTCAACTTGAAATAACTCGTTATATTTATTCACAATTAAAACGATTGAATACTAATGGTTCAAATATATTAATCAATTGTCCGACATTATTTGATGGAAAAGATTCGATAATTAAACTTATTCTAGGTTTAATAACAATATCTGATACAATGACAACTGCATTTAGTTTAATTAATAAAATAATCAATGTAAAATAGTTTTTTTTCGCATCGTTTTCTTTTATTTGAATCTAATTTTTAGGAATTAAATCTTTCAATAAACGAAGTTTTTCTTCCATGTGCGGAAGAAATTGGTAAACGTCGTGATTATCGTATGCTTCAACAATTACTTCAAGTAATGCGTGATAATGGTTATAATGATAATAAACTACATGACGATATTATTGAAAGTTGTGTACGACAAACTGGTTCGGATGTTGAACAAGTAAAATATACGAAAGAATTTGATTTATTTTCAATAAGTTTTTTTTCTTTTGAATTTTTAGAGTCGAGAACAAGACACATTAATACAAATGATTAAAAATGATAATACTCGTATAAATGTTTATATTTCTGTTGGTAAATTACGTGCAGCTTATTTAATAGCTATTCGTCTTGGTAAAGAAGATAAAATTCGTTTAATTCGTGATGATGCACAAAGAAGTGGTCAAACAGCTGTTTATGAAATGTGTAAAAAATGGTTAGAAAATCGAGCAAGTGAACAGTGAAATATATAAATATCTATAATCTAGTCTTTCGATAATGAAACTGCAGTGAATTTTTTTTATGCGTTATTTCCGCCTGTGATTGTAATATTTCTGTAGGTGATTTTTTTTCTTATTCTTCTTCTTCTTCTATAATAATATCGTCTTTCTTGTTTCTAAAGAAATAAAACGTAAGATATAATTTTTTTTTAATTTATGTAATTCATCCAGATTTTAGCATTTTTTT